AGCCCAAGGGGGACAAGCCGTGGGGCTGAGCCCCAAGGGCCCGAGCCCCCGGGGAGCCCCCGGGGCCACTTGGCTGCTCCGCTGCCACCTGCGGCACCCCGAGCATCGCGGCTGCCTTTCCCCGGGGGCCGCCGCAGGGCGCAGCGGCGACACGGGCGCCCCCAAAACAGGGGCTCGAGCCCGGGGGGGACATCGGGGGGCCCCCCCAGCAGAGCCCGCCCGGAGCGGGGCGATCCGCGCTGCAGACGCGGCGCCCCGGCCGCCAGCCCCGCGCTTCCTGCAGGCACCCCTAAAACGGGGTTCCCCGCCCGTTGCCGTGGCAACGGGTGACCGGTTTCCTCCGTCGCCATGGCAACCGCGCCGCCGGCCCCGCGGCCGCCGCTCGCGCGGCAGGATGCGCGCGCGGGCGACCGCGCAGCGACCGCGGCGGTTTGCAGCGCGTTTTGTGTTTGTCAACTAGAAATTGTCCCCAAATGTCACTTTTTTAAGGGCGTTTTGCAGCCGGCTCTGTCCTCTCCGCGTTTTACCGGCTCCTGTGGGATGCCCGGGCCGCAGCGAAGCGGAGCGAGCGGCGGTACCGGAGCGGTGCCGGGCCCGGGCTCGCGGCCGCAGGATGGCAGCAGATGCCAGCGCTTGGGACACGCGGGCTCCCAGGGACGGGACACGGCATCTCCTGGTGAAACCCGGGCCGAGGAAGAGSAGGCAGCGAGGAAGCCGCGGATGGGCGCAAGGCAAAGCCCATGCTTTTCCTTTTTTTCCCCCTTTTTTTCCGCTGCTCCCCCCTGCAGCCCTCCCCTCAGCCAAGAGGCAGAGCACGGCAAACACGGGGAACTTTATTGGCACTTTCAGCCGCACCGCGACAGGCACCCGGCAAACGCCAGCGGTACAAAAATAATTGCACCGGGAGGGGTGCAATTTTTCCCTTTTTTTGCTTTTTCTTTTTTCTTTTTTTTTTTTTTTTTTGGATTTTTTTCCCCCTCCCATTTCCCCTTGGCAGTAGCCCGGCTGGGAAGAGCCTTTCACGGAAAGGACTAAGGGGGATGAACCAGGGCAGCTCTGGGTGGCAAAGGGCCCAGCGCTTCCCAAACCTGCTGCCCAYGGAGCGACACGGGTGCCTGGCCATAGGGAATGAGGCAGAAGATATGGGAAAAAATAATAATAACTAAAAAAATAAYAATAATACAAGAGAGTGAGGCGCTGGGGTTGGCGCTGGGCTCGCTGTCCCTGTGATGCAGAGGGACACAGAGGCCTCGTGCACAAGGTGGTAGGGGACAAATTACCCTGGAATTAAGCAGGAAACATCTTGGTGATGAACTTGGGGTATTTTGCCCACCCAGAGAATTTTCTCCTCCTTTTCTCCTCCAAAACATGCAAGTTGGGCAGCAGTAGAGCTGAGGCACCCCTCAGCATCCCTCTGCAGCTGCCCCATAAATATATATTTATACAAATAAATATATATTTCATTCCAGACCCTGTGGCAGGGCAGCCTCTGGCTACGAAAGGGGCCGTGCGCCCTGTCCCGTCCAACGCTGACCCCGAGCACTACCCCTAAGAGCTCCGTTTTGGCACTGAATCCCCCCTCCTCCCGCTCTCCCCTCCCTCCCCCACTGTTTCCTAWAAAAATAAGATTGTGCTTATTTATAAAATATTTTTTTTTTAAGAAAAATTTTCCAGTTAAAAAAAAAAAAAAAAGGATGGTGTATCAAAATACGGCAAAACTTTGGCTGTCGGTTTGCTGAACGCCACGTAAAAATATTGCCTGACAAGATATGGGGCTCCCGCACCCTGGCAGCAGGAACGGGGTYGGGGACGCAAGGAAAATGCAGGTGGGTCTATAAGATCCAGGCTTATCCAGACATACGTACCCCTATGCACTCGTCTATGCGTTCTCCGYCTATTTAAAGCCTGCGTTGGGCAGATGTTAGTGCGGTTGCGTTACAGCTGGCCCTTTCTTTCCCATTTTCCTTTGGTTTGCTGGGGTGAGGGTTTTTTGGGGGGGTTGCCCTGTCCCTGCAGCCTCTGTGTGACGTCCTCCCCGCTGCCCGGGTCCTGGGTGCTTCCCGGTCCGGTTATTGCTAAATTCTCCCTTTCCATACTGGCCTTGACGGGGACGTTGGGGCTCTTTGGCTTGGCTGCCCGCGGCCGAGGCCAGCGGCTCCTCCGAAGCTGCGGCCGCACCAGAGCCAGCGGGAGCCGTGACRGGATAACAGGGAAAAAAAGGGGGAAAACGTCAAAAAAACCTTCTCGAGGCAGGAAGCAGGAGATTCGGGTTGTCCTCCATGAGCCTGAAGACGCTGCATTTCTCCGGGTGGAAACGGGAGCATTTGGCACCAAGCGCATGGGCGCAGCGAGCCGGGCGCCCTCCCCGCGGCCCTCCGTGCGCCGGAGGGCGCAAATCCCATGGGAAAGCGCCGCGGCGCAGCCCCGAATCCATCCACGGAGCCCCGGGCGCTCTCCCAAGGCAGGCGGCCCGGCCGCRGCTCACACCACGAACTCGGGGACCTCGTCGTGGGCGAGATCCAGCGAGAAGTACTTGCTGGYGCGCTTGGCGGGGAAGCCCTCCTGCATGGCGATGCACTGGCGCGCCAGGCAGCCGTGGCAGTAGAGGGTCTCCTCGGGCAGCCCGTGGCCGCAGCCGAACGTGTAGCTCTGCGCCGTGTCCTGGCACAGGTCGGCGAGCTGCAAGAAGTCCTTCTGGTAGAGCCGGATGTCGTCCAGGCTCAGGCTGTGCCGGTCCGTGGACGTCTTGGGCTTTCGGCTGCCGGTCTGGGCAAAGCGCAAGGTCATGGTGGGGTGGGATGGGCTGGAAGAAGCTCAGGGCAGCCCCACCAGCAGAAGCCCAATGCCCACCTGGTGGCCACCAAGGATGGAGGTCCACCAAGAGCTCCAGCAGCGCTTGGGGTGCAATCGCCAAGTGCAACGGGTTGGGGGCAGGTTGGGGGCAGGATTATCCAGGCATGGGATAATCCAGGATGACCCCTTCCCAAATTGCCCAGGGACCCGCCTTGGGCACAGGCGTGTGGGACTCACCTGGGGCAGCGAGTCCGTGCTCTGCCCGCGCAGCTTCACCACCGTCTCGGAGGAGCTGGAGGTGGAGGAGCTGATCTCCTTGACGATGAGCCCTAGGCGCAGCACAGAGGAAGAGGATGGCGTGAAGGCTGCCACAGAGCACCCGCCCCGTGCCAGAGGAAGGCTCATTCTCGGAGCATTGATCACAGCCCACATGAGCTTGTAAAGCGCTCCGGGCCGCTGGTGCTTCATCACCTGTGTGCTAGTGCCCTTGGGTTCACCGTGCTCCAAGTGTGCTCCTTTTCCCGGGAAAACCCTTGCCTCTGTCTTTCCACCAGCAAGTTTTACTCCATCTTTCCTTTGCGCAAACTGCTTTTCCCGGTGTCCCAAATCCACCCCGTGGGGATTTGTGCAGGGGTGCGAGCTGCGCGGGGGGAGCCGAGGCGGCAGCGGGCGCCGCGGTGCCACCTCACCTGCGTGCCCGTTGAGCTGCCGCGACAGCAGCATGTCCTCGGTGATGTACACGCACATGTCGGGGCTGACCTCCAGCGCCAGCTCGCCCGCCTGCTCCAGCTCGCGCGGGTCGTCCACCAGCATCTCGATTTCTGCAGATGCGGGACGAGGAGAGAGGAGAAAAACACCTTGCGGATACGGAGCCGAGGGGGAGCACAGGCCCCTCCGACGTTGCCCCCAACCCCAATCCCCCYGTGAATTGCCAGCACGCGAGCGCACGGCTGCGGCGTGCGGGAGGCCAGGAGGAGGAGGCAGCCGCGCGCCGGCCCTACCGTCGTCCTGCGAGTCCTCGTCCAGGCGGTCCTTGCCGCCGCTCTCCACGCCGGACGTGTGCGAGCTGCCGTGGCTCGTCATGGAGCTGCACGTCTGGAGCTTCCTGTGGGCGCCGGCGTCGTCGGGCGGCGCGTCGCGCGCGCGGGGCTCCGTGTCCACGCCGGACGTGCGCGAGCTGCCGCGGCTGGCGCTGGAGCGGCGCGAGAGGCGCTGGTGGCGCGCGCTGCCCGCGCTGCTGCCGCTGGCCCTCGAGCGCTGCTCCAGCTGCTCCATGTCCAGCTCCAGCGTGTCGCTGATGTACGACTCGCGGTACTGCTTCTTCTCTGCGGGGGACGCGGCGCCGTGAGCCCCGCGGTGCCGGCGCCGCGTCCCGGCGCGCGCCGCGTCCCCGGCCGCCTACCCTCGTTCTCCTCGAGGCGCCGGACCTGGCGCAGGACGGGCTGCAGGTTCATGTAGAGCCGGTGGCTGCTGCTGAGCAGCTGCAGGAGGTGGCGCGAGCGCAGCGGGCAGCCCGTGTAGTAGATGAGCTTGCGGGCCGAGGGCAGCCCGTCGGGCAGGATCTCGAACTTCTTGCCCTGCCGAGGAGGTTGGAGCCGCCCGTGGCGCCGGAGGGCTCGGGGAGGCGCCGGAGCAGGAGCCTGCTCGGCACGGGCGGCAGCCCCCGCGGCCCCCGCGCTACTCACCACAAACACCAGCTTGCCCACGTTGGTCCAGGGGAAGTCGTAGAGCAGCTGCTTTTCCTCGTCCAGGTTCTGCGGGAGAGCGAAAGCGCCCGCGCTTAGGAGGCCCAGGCGCTCCGGAGGCCCGGCCGGTTTGGAGGCCCGGGTACTTTTTGGCCCGGGCACCTCCACTGCCTCCCGCAGCACCCGGAGCCCCAACCTGGAAGATCTGGATGCCCCGTGTCGTGAGCCCCAGCGTCAGGGAGGCTTCCACTTCCCTTTTGTCCTAAGGGAGGCAAGGAAAACAAGTAAATACAACACAGCCCGACACTTTCAAGGCACAACGGGCACCATAAGTTGGATCCATCAATTTACTGTGAGGGTGCCCGAGCCCTGGCCCAGGCTGCCCAGGGAGGCTGCGGAGGCTCCTGCTCTGCAGATCTTCCCAAGGCGCCGGGATGCGCCCGGGTGCCCCGTGCTCTGGGTGTCCCTGCTGGAGCAGGGGCTGCCCTGCGGGATCCATAGGGGATAGGTTGGAAGGGGTCCCTTCCAACCTCAGCCATTCTGGGATTCTGTGAATCTGCTTCCCCAGCCCCAGGATCACTGGACCCTCCCACACGGTGCAGCCTCGCATGTGCAATTCCAAGCTGGAGAGCATGGAGGATGCCACCAAAAGCAGGGCTAAACCCTTCTCTTTAACACCCCTCTCCTCCCTCCCAAAACACGTTTGTCAGAGAGAAAACAYGAAAAAAAAAGAAACAAAAAAAGAATGGACAAGATTGCGAAGCCCGGGAGCCTTCCCGGCGCCTCGGCAGCGACCCCTCGCCTTGTAGAGCCGGTAGTAGTGCACGGCGACGTCGTCCAGCCGCACGGCCTCCTTGATGTACTTGAGGTGCGCCTCGGAGGCCGTCAGCGCAAACTGGTCCTTGTGCATGGTGGGCACGTGCTTCAGGATGTACTCCCTGCCCCGCTTGGCCACCACCTGTGGGGCAGCGACGGGAGGAGGAGAGGGCAGCGCGCCGCTGCCGCGCGGGCTCCCCGAAAGCATCGGCGCTTGCAGGAGCGCAGCCCTCCTGCGCCACCGAGAGCATCGCTCYGGCAGCTCCCACCCCCGGGTGCTGCTTCCCCAGGGGGGTTTCCAACCAGGGCATCGGATTTTGGGGTCTCCTTGAATAAGCAGGAGAGCCCATAGCGCATAGGTGGCAAAGCCCCCATCCTCATTCTCCCCTCTGCCTCCGGCTGCCCCGCGGAAGAATCACGGGAATGCCGCGGGGTGTCCGGCTGCGCTGCACACTGCCATGGACCCTGCCCTAACACTAACATTTATTGGAGCTTTATTCACCCACACCAACCCGAGTGCCTCACGTTGCTGTCGGGGCGCTATTCCACCCGGGACACTATTCCACCCACATCCCCGCTCCCCTCAACGGCACCAGACCCCGGACAGGAGCTGGAGACCCCGTCCCGCCGGCCCCGCGGGCGCCCTTACCCAGGCCGGGAAGTAGGCTTCGGGCTCGAAGTACTTGCCGTAGTGCTTGCTGCGCTTGAAGTCGCCCAGGTCGGCTTGCAGGGCGAAGGCGGTGAGGAGGAAGTAAGCCTCCTCGCGCAGCACGCACTGCGAGTGCAGCACCTGCTTGCGCAGGTGCCAGTAGTAGTAGTACCGCGCCGTGCGGTCGCTGCAAGGGGGACGGCGCCGTCAGGGACCCCGGCMCGCTCGTGGGTGCAGAAACCACAGCCCCTGGCTGCACCCCGGTGTTGGGCACCGCGCGCCGGGTCCCGCCGGCTCCCACCGGCTCCGCACCTGATGAGCCGCCCGTTCTCCACGTAGTACTGCACRCGGAAGTGGATGATCATCGGCGGCCCGAACTGGTCGATGCCCTGCGAGCRGGGAGAGGGTCAGGGCGCCCGCGCGCACCCGCCGCTAAGCCCGGCCCAGCGCCCGGCGGGTGAGGCTGCGGGAAACYGAGCTCGCGTGCCAACGGCGACGCCGTGTTTTGGAGTTTTTCATCATTGCATTCCCCTTTTGAGCAAATTTTTTGAGTTTAAGAAGTAGAAGGAAAGCTCGTGTTAAGAAATCCCACCATAATTTATGCAATAAAGTGGATAAGAGATGGAAAGGATGGAGAGAAATCGCCAACAAGCCACCCATGCCACCCTGCTGTCACAGCGTTTGCCCGCATGGCTTTTGCGTGCGCTGACGTCTCCCACCCTGGTGCCTGCCAAGCCCAAAGCCAAGTCCCCAAGTCCGGAACCGCTGCCAGCAGCCGCCCCCTGCACTTCCCGGCCTGGGAAGTGACCTGTGGCAGGGACAGAGCCGGCCTTGGGGTGTCATCTGTGTCGCACCGGGCAGCGCTCACCTTGCTGGCCTCCTTCTTCCACTCCTTGGGGCAGTACTTGTAGAGCTTCTGGGACAGGTCCATGTACACGTGCTCATTGTCTGCGCGAGAGAGCCCTGTCACCGAGCGGGTCACCTTCTCCCTTCTCAGAGAGGCCAATCCCGACCCCATGCCCAGGGCCACCAGGATGCAGGTGGCTTCACCATGGAGCACGGCGAGCTCCAATACAACGTGGTGGTGGAGACTCTCCCAGGCACCTTGACTATTCCCGGCACCCCATGCAGAAGTGGGACCAGGTCTCATCCCGTCACAGCACTTGCCAGCCAGGCAGGAGGACCCAGCGGTCATGGAGCATCTCCAAAGCCTCCTGGTGAGCACCTACTGATGCTAATGCACCAAAGGCTGCTCAGGGCTCCTCCATCCACATTAGGACTCGGAGAAGCCACCAAAGGGAGGCAGCACAAGGTCCTCTGCTCAGGAACCAGCAGTTGGAAGGGCCAGGGCCCAGGGAAAACTCTCCTGCACCCATGGGAGACGGGACCGGCTCAAGGGGCAAAAGTAGAGGTGACCTTGTTGGAAGCCACCACTGAGGCCAGAGGCTGAGATGCTCTGAGGTGCCTGCTCGCAGGGTGGGAAGCCACTTACTCTGGATGACGCTGAGGCCGAAGAGGTGGCAGTCCCTGAGCCTGAGGAGGTCGCACACCTGCACCAGGAGCTCGTGACACAGGATCTTCACCTGCCGGGAGCGGGGGGCAGCTGGGCGGGCGGCCGGCGCGCGGGGCCGCCCCAGCGCCYGCCCCGGCCGCCCCACTCACGTTGATGATGATGCTGAGGGAGTCGTCGTTGGGGAGGAAGATGCACACGCTGCGGCGGTCCTGCATGACTCTGTTGTTGTGGAAGGGCAGTTTGTTCATGGTGGGCCGGGCGGTGCGCGGGGCGGGCGGCGCGCCGGCGCGGGCGCCTCAGAGCCGGGCCGCGGGCCGCGCGGGGAGCTCCATTCCTGCGGGACAGCGGCGTCAGCGCGGCGCCGGCCACCCCGCGCATGCAGCCCCCTCGCCGCCCACCCCGGCCCGGCAGCGCCCACCGGGTGCGTGCACCCCGGGCTGCCTTCACCCGGCTGCATTACCCATTGCAATCGCCCCGCGTTGAATTATCTGTGTGCGTTTTCCCTGGTTGCATGAGCTGGGTGCATTTACCCTGGGCTGTGTTYACCAGGTTGCATTGCCCAGTGCATTTACCCTGGGCTGCAGTATCCAGGTGCATTCACCCTGGGTTGAAYTATCCAGCTGCATTGACGCTGGGTGCATTATCTGGGTGCATTTACCTGGGTTAAACTACCCAGGTGAGCTGACCCTGGGTTGAATTATTGGGTGCATTTACTCCGGGCTGCATTCCCTGGGTGCCTTTACCCTGGGCTGCATTAACTTTGTGCGTGTACTCCGTGCTGCATTTACCAGATTGCATTACGCAGGTGCATTTACCCTGGCTTGAACTACCTGGATGCATTTAGCCTGAGCCGCGCTTACCAGGCTGCATTACCTGCGTGCCTTTACCCTGGGTTGCATTTACCAGGTAGATTTACCCTAAGCTGCATTAACCAGGTTGCTTTTACCGGGCAATGTTAATTGGTTGCCTTAACCCTTGGTCATATTCACCCTGGGTGCATTTACCCCAGGTAACTGCACGCTAGGTTGCATTTACTCTGAGTTGCATTTATCCCAAGTTGCATTTACCCCAGACTGTGTTACTCCAACTTGCATTTACTCCAAGTTGCATTTACCCCAAGTTGCATTTGCTCCAGGCTGTGTTACCCCAAGTTGCATTTACTCCAAGTTGCATTTACTCTAAGTTGCATTTACCCCAGGCTGTGTTATTCCAAGTTGCATTTACCCCAAGTTGCATTTACTCCAAGTTGCATTTACCCCAAGTTGCATTTACTCCAGGTTGTGTTACTCCAGGTTGCATTTACCCCAAGTTGCATTTACCCCAGGCCATGTTACCCCAGGCCGTGTTGCCCTGCTGCATTTTCCCTTGGCTGCATTTCCCCTCGGCCACATTCCCCTCGTGCCGCGCAGGGCAGGACAGCGCGGAGCACAAAGCGTCGCTCCAGCTGCGAGGAGGCCCCGGCAGCTCCGGCCTTGGCAGGGCAATTCCGGCCGCACAGCGGCCCCAGCTCCTCGGCTGCCACCRCAGCCGGAACCTGCCCTGATTCCATGGGGAAAATCGGCCGTTGGGAGGAATCAAACCACGCATTTTTATATCTAACGGCATTGCCACGCTGAAACCCTGATATTGTTCCTGCTCCGTGTCACCGGCCCATCCAAGCACCCGCTATTGGGGCACAGCTCCCGGGAAAACTGCTGCTCCCGGGAAAGCTGCTGCTCCCAGGCCCCCTTATCCGGGCATGTGCTCCCTGCGTCACCCGTGGGATGAAGGCTCCTGCTCGCAAAGCCTTTGCTCTACCAGGAAAGGGTTAAGGAAAGAGGCCTCGGCGGCCCTCGCAGCTGCGCCGGGCCCTTTCCGGAGCGGGAATGCCGCTCGGCACAGGCTGGAAGGCCTGGCGGGGAAGGAGCCGCTCTTCCCCTCTCAGCTGCCGGCCGATCCCAAGCGGGAAACTCCACCCCGCGCACGGCGCCACGCGTTTCCACGAGGAAAGGCGCTCGCTCCGGGCGCGAGCGCCTTCCCGGTGGGATGCAGCGAGTTGCAGGGCGGCGCGTGGAGAACCTCGGCGCATCCCTTGCAGGCACGAGGCTGCCGCGACCTGCAACCCGGGGGGCTACAGGGCAAGCGCCAGACGGGACGCGGCTTCCCGGGGCGGGAATTTCTCCTTGGCAGCCGCTCCGAGCGCTCCCAGGCCACATCAGAGCGCGCGGGGCACCAGGAGCGGCTCGCGCGGCGCCCCGGCCCCGCGGGCCCATTAGCTCCTGCTCGCGGTCGCCCCGGCATTAAAAGCGGCTCCAGCTCTTCCCGAGCGCGACAGCTCCCTCCCGGCGGCCCGAGGCGGATGAAAGGGCCCTTCACTGGGAAAAAAAAAGGCCTCGGTTATAAATACTGCATTGCTTCACCGGCCGGGATGCTCTGTGGCGGAGCCTTGCATGGATCCGTCACTATTCCGTGCCCAGCGGCTGCTTTGGCACCGCACACAGTGGAGGCTGGCCCCAAAACTGCGTATTTTCCACCCAACTAAGCCCCGGGCAGGAATGACCCAATGGGGCTCTGTGATTCCCGTGGTCCATGATTCCTTCGTTGCTAAAAGCGATAAGCCTCAGTGCCCGGGTGCTGGGAGGATGCGCGGCTGCCCTGGTCTGCTTTTCCTGCTGTTTTCTCTTGTTTTCCTCCTTTTCCTTCCATGTTGTTTCACCCATCCCATCCATTTTGTCTCCTTCTCCGCCAGCCTTGGGCATTTGACTACTCTCCGCTAAGAACTTCCAGTTGCAGCGGGTCGGAAGGGCCATTCCCAGGCCCTGGCGGGATCTGCTCCGGCCGCTCACCCTGCATCCAGGGCCACCAGCACCTCCAGGCCTCAGGAAAGCGGGAGCGGAGCCGGCACGGTGAGGGGCACAGCCCGAGGCTCTGGCTGGGGATCACCCCCCGTCGGCATCGCTCCAAAGGGGATCCAAACAGCAGCTATTCCCACTTTGCAGATTGCAGCGACTCCCCAGCTCGGCTCCCCGGCGGCTTCTCTCCGGCGCTCGGCTCAGCGGCAAATCCCAGGGATTTCGGCTGGGAGCGGCCTCCGGCATGGCCAAACGGGCCCCGCTGCGCTGCCCTTCCCGAGCGGCGGCCGCAAAACGGGCTTTTCTCGCGGCTTCGCTCGAAAAAATCCTCTAAACCCGCCTTGCCGGCGAAAAACGGGAGACATCAAACTAAATTAGCAAGCAGGCAGATATTTTAACCACAGTTTGTGTACTCCATCTGGAGTCCAAAGCACTGCTTTTTTTTAAAAAAAAAAAAAAAAAAAAGCAGGAGGGAGCTGACATCATCTTAATTTGAAATTCGCATTTATTTTTACATCTGGTCTGAATTAATCTTTTCCAGCGTCCTGACTTTCATGTAATGGAATAATTGCTTGCAGACTCGGGCTGTAAAGCGTTCGAGTGATTCGAGGGTAGGAAAAGGGCTTCTTTGCAAGCGATGCCGAAATCCCAGCTCCTAGAACGGAGCCCTGGTGTTGGATGGGGYGTTGCAAATGCAACGGCACCGTTTTCGAGCGTTTGATCCACGGAAAAAGAGCCAATAAATCCATGCCATGGAGCAGCGAGCGCAAGTAAACACCATGAAGGAGGAAAATAAAGGAGCCAGCGCGGGGAGAGCGGCCGCTCGACCGGCTGCGGTGGTTCTGGAGAAGAAGAGTTGGATTTGGGGCAAAAAACATATCCTTGGGATGAGGAACAGCATGGGGCAGGAGCTGCAGAGGGCGGCGAGGCTGGAAAATCATCGAGCCACCGGGATGGGGGTTTTACAGTCCTGTTTTCCCAGTGTTTATCCCCACGAGATCCATAATCCAGCTGGGATCCATGTACCCGGGAGGGAGCATTGGCTGGCGCTGCTTCCAATGTGGGGTGAGCATCCCGGGAAATGCTGCTCCAAGCCACGACAGCCTCCGATCCGGGGCCTCCGTCGCCCTTGGAACCCCAGAAGGGACCAGTCGGAAAGGAGCAGCCGGATCCGGCTTGGCCTCCTCCGGGATGGACCCACCGGCATCGACCCGGCACGGGGCACATCCCCGGAGCAAGAGGGACCCGCGGGCGACGGGATCCCACGGGTGCGAGAATCCGGGGACGAGAGGATGGAGAAGAGAACGAAGGGCCCCAGGGATACGGGATGGAGCGGGACGTGGGGCAGCGGGATGTGGGGCAGCGGGATGTGGGGCAGTGGGACAGCGGGACGCGGCGGCCCCGATGCTGTTAAATTTCAACCGCGCTGCGCCCGGCCGGAGGAAATGACTCGCATTCCTGGAAAATGAAGCCGCGCGCAGTTTTCCAACACCACCAACTAATCCCCCAAGTGCAACAAGCAGCCGGCGCCGCCGGCCCCGGCTGCTCCGCTGCCGCCGCCGGGCCCGGCGGCACCGGCACCGGGAGCGGCATCCGCCGCTCCCGGTGCCGGTGCCGCCGGGCCCGGCGGCGGCAGCGGAGCAGGCTCGGGACCGGCACGCGGAGCGCGCACCTACCTGCGGCTCCGGGACCCGAAGCGAGCCGAGCTGAAGCGAAGCGAGCCGAGCCGAGCCGAACCGAGCCCGGCCCTGCCCGCCGCTTCCCGCCCCTTCCCGACCGGCGCCGCCTCCCGCCTCGGCGCGGCCCCCGGGGGGAGCCCCGGCTGCTGCCGCCCCGCCCGGCCCTGTTTGGGGCGGGGGGAAAAGGGGGAAAATTCGACCCCCCTGTCCCCGTGTCCCCCGACGGCCTCCCCAGCATCCCCGGTTGGAGCCGCCGCAACTTGGACCCCAAGGGACTTTTGGGGAGGGGAGCAGCGTCCTGGGGGGGGAGTTGAGTTTCACCCCCCCCCCCCCAGAGGCATCTGAGCATCCTCTGGGGGGCTGGAGCATCCTCTGGGGAGCAGAGTGTCCTCCCGGGCCCCCCTGATGTCTCTGTGGACCTCAGCACCCTTTCGGGAGAGCCGAGAATCCTCCCGGAGTCCTTATGGATCTCGGTGCCCTCCCAAGGGAGCCAAACATCCTAACAGGGAAAGCTCAGAGTCCTTATGGGGGCACCTGAGCGTTGCCCCCAGGAGGGACCTCAGCCTCCTCCTTGGGGACCAGAGCACCCTCCCCAGGAGGGACCAGCWCCCCTATGGAGCATGGAGCATCCAGTGTCCCCTGGGAGGAGACCCGAGCRTCTCCCCCAGGGCGGGATCCGAGCATCCTCACGGGGGGGACCCGAGCACCCCCGGCCAGGCCCTGAGCATCCTCCCTGCG